CAATTTTTGTTCAATTCACATTGAGAGTATCTTATTCTCAGCTATTCTATTCTTAATATAATTTATTATCACCTTCAAAGTTCAGTGCAAATTCAAATTGTATTAACAGCTATATTTTGGTAACTATTTATTTGATTATTTATACACGAGGGATGACGTAACTATATATAAAGTAACGTAGATGAGCGATTTGACTATACTAGATGTATAAAGTAGATTCAGAAGAAAGTTTGTTCCTAATTGAAAATGAAAAAATATATATTTTTAGAAAAATGTATTTTTAGTGTCTGAAATAGGTGTTTATTTGGTTTCTTAAGTTTCAAAATGAATACTTTTGGTCGTTGGAGTAGTATCTATTTGGTTCTTAAAGTTTAAAAATATACATTTTTTGTCTTGATCGCTAGTTGATTGTTAATTGACCGTTTTTCGTATTCTCTCTTCCTCTCCCCTACTCTCTCTCCCATCTCAAGCCAACGTGGCTGCCATCACCACTGACCAATCGCAGCGCTGTCCCCATTACGTTCATCACGCTGTCGTTGCACGACCGTCGTGCTTTCTCCTTCGTAGTTACCGATGAGAGGAATGAGATTTTTGATTGAGGTAAGTAATTCAATCTACTTATCTCAATCAGAAATCCCACAAGCTATAGATAATCACTACTTCCGAACAATGTTTTACTTCCTTGAAAGCTAAAATATAACCAATGTTCACAGTCAATATTAAAATGAGGATCCAAAAACCAATCTATATACTAAACAATCTCATATATCCAATTACTCCATTCAAAAACAATTTTCTAAATAAAATAATTAGAAAAATATGGATTTTGCGTCAGAGATCTAAAAATTGGGTTAAAACACCTTAAAACATAATAATAATAACAAACTTTAAAACACAAAACAGAATCCTGTGCTCTAAATTTACAAAATATTCCTCAACAAAACCAATTTAAAACGTTCAAAACAATTGAAAACTAAGAAATTTTAAATTTGAAAATTTTATGTTTTATATAACAAGACATCCAAAATTTTCAATACTTAAAAGGCCCCCACAACCATTTTGTTAATAGGTTTTTTGTTTTTAAAAATGAAGTGTTTTTTTTTTATCTATTTTTATAAATATTTTCAAAAAATATAAGCTAATTTTTGAAAAAAAGTATTTTTCAAAACTTGTTTTACTTGACATTCTTTTAAGGATGTGAAAAAATATACAAATAAATGGTGTGAAATCAAACATAATTTTTACAATAAAAAACGAAATGATTATCAAATGACTCTAACAATCTACCAATTACAGATAAGGTCCAGACTAATACAAATTTCCTTTGTAAAATCTTCAATATTGAAACTAAGAGCCATTGTTCACACGAGATTTTGTATAGTGGATTCAATCTCTAGTTTTTAGTGAAGATTGAGATGTTTGTTTTTGGATTTAAATTCTAAACTCTCCAAAATGGAGACTCCTCTATCTATAGGAGTTTTCACAGGTTTGGTGGGCTGGAGTGATTTTGGACTCAACCCATAGATTGGACTCTATTTGGGTTACGAGCACAATTTAATTTCAAAACATTTGGATTTAGATAATTTTGAACCCAGTCCAATTCTTTAAATTTATTTAAATTTAAATATTAATCCACTTGTCTCATGGTAATTTGAGTTTTGGGCCAAGTTGGTGAACCAAATTGATTCCAGACCCAATTCTAATATAACCCAATTAAACCAATTAAAATAAATTAAGGGGTCCAATGAAAGATATTGACATGTTTCAATTGTCAATTTATCTTTAATTTTAATTTAAGGTTAATATATAATTGATTCCTAAATAAAATAGATAACGACGTGACCATTTATTATTGGACCAAAATTTATGGTTCTAAAGATGAATAGAGATAACTTTGATAAAACTAGGCAAATCGAAATTTGAAAAATTTTTTGGACAAAAGTTTTCAAAATATTCTCTTCAAATTGAGGAGGAAAGAAACTAGGGATGTTTATGAGGCGGGGTGAGGACGGGGAAGTTAATTTAAAACTAGGTTGAGCCATACAAATAGTTTTAATTTAAAACTAGGCTATAAAAGATCTATAAGAACCTTAATAGAACACCTTAAAAGATTCTTTTAAAAAGATAAAGGTTTGTCCTATAAATAAGAAAATAAATAAATAGAAAAAAAACAGGTATGTATATGAAGTTGTGTACCCTCGAAATTTACATTATCCACAGCATCATGAACAGCTAGCAAGCATGGAGAGAGAATTATGAAAATAAGATGAAGATTGGTCTTCTTAGTTTCAGTGGAAGAATGAATATCGAAGGGTTTTTTTTTTTTTTTTTTTTCCAATTCAGTCGAGAACAGAGAGAATTTTTTCGATTACACGAGAACGTAGAAGAGAGGAGGGTTAAACTCGTAGTCTTAAAACTCGAAGGTGAAACATCAGCATGGTGGTGCCAAATTCAATCTAATAGGAGACATGAAAGCTGATGTTGAAACCATTCAGTTCAATTTAATGTTCGATTTTTGAACCTCAAACCAAAACAAATAGAACATTTATGTTTCAAAATATTAAAAATCGAATAGAGCCGAAAACCGACTAAACTGAAAATTTGGTTTCGTTTGATTTTTTTCTTTTCTTCCAATTTTTTCAATAGGGTCAATTAGGTTGTGCATCCCTACCCTAGTCTACTACTATGCAAGAACAAATGTGTCTGAACATACAAGTGAAACTGTGAAAGGTAACATGCTACCTACACACCGTACAATGTTTCTGAACCCTGAACCTTAATAGTATAGGATCAACTTTTTGCAACAATGTTGAAAGCCTAAAGAGTCAATTTATCAAATTAAAATTTCCAAGTCACGATTATAATACATAGAGGCAAAAGACAAATGCTAGTTTTGTTTTTGTTCTTCGTTAACAAAATTATAAACGTAGGATTTAATATGAACAATGTCATAACCTCGAGTAGTTAATCGATCAAATTAAAAATTTGAAGGTACAACTATAACAACTAGTAGCGAAAGTTAGGAGTCGACATCCTGACTGCAGTTCGAGCATAGAAAAATTTACCAACCTGTTATGTATGATGCAATTGGCCAAGCAGGGTTATACAATGAGTCGATCGGGAATAATCGAAGCCAAGGACTCGTGGTTTGGTTGCAGTACAAATAAATAAAACCTTACCGTTCTACATTTTCACCTCCCTCTTCTCCCCACTCTGCCATATCTCATTTTTCATAGCATTACATTTTTTTTCATACAGTAGGTTGGAAAGAGAGCTTAAACTCCTTTAACCGATCGATGGTCAGTGTTGAATCGTAAAAAACCAGCCAATGACCAGCCCACTGGTGAATGGATACCGAACCGAGTCCCCGACCGACCAATATGGTCGACTTTCCAAAATTTCTATCTCACCCCTAATAATAACCCTATGCAATATTCCCTTAATATTCAAGAAAATAGAGTTACTGAGTGCAATTTTTTAAAAGATACAATACCTTTTTCAAGTGTTGGGATGACCAGCTATGTTCTTTTCCTCCAATTGATGAGGTAAAAAATTGGAGCCTTGTCTGAAAAGGCTGTTCCACCAAATGCAGAGGAAGATTCATGTTTCCAGGCAGGTCCAAGAAGCCATGATATTGCAGCCCCCCCTATAAACCCTCCTACCTGCAACAAAATCAACACCACAATCACATTACACATTTGGAATTTAAATGCTTAAATGAAGAAAAAGTTGGTCTCCATGCTCCACAGAATCAGTTAAATTTAGAAAAGGAACACTTAATTTGAACAATTATTCTATCCATCTAAATTTATTCAGTATTCTATTTCATCGTTCTTTTTTTTATTTTAGTTTTGATTTTTAGTCAATTTCTTTTTAGAACTTTTGTTTAATTGTTTAGTCGATTTCTTTTTAGAACTTTTGTTTAATTGTTATGGCAAGCGTTTTTTTGTTTCTTCTTTTGTGTTTTCTAAAAAGTAATAAAAAATATAATATTTTGATTAAATTTGGATTCCTTGTTTTCACATAACTAAATCTTTTTAAATGAAAAAGAAAACGAAATCTTTTCTTATTTGGAAACTTTCTTAATTTGATTGGGCAAAATTTGTAACAAAATCAAACTTTTTAATTAATAATATATCATATTTCCCTTTCTTATCTTTTTCTTTACTATCTTGTTTGATAGTTCCAATTTTTTCCTTAAAAAAGATGGGTCTTGATTTGTTACAAATAGATGGTTGGGTTTTAGAAGGAGGAGAAGAGAAACATGGTTATTTTCACAAACAGACCAGTCACCTCCACATCACATAACCTCGACGTTTCTTGCAACTGATATCTTCGGAGCATACCCACAATTCGCGAGCAAGCAGAAGGCTTCTAGCAGCATATTCGCCTTCCTGAGTTGCTAAATCGTAAGCCGAAAAACTACATCTCTAGATTCTGTTTTCTCTCCTTGCATCCGGGAGAAAAAGGAAATTTTCCTCTTTCTGTTGATTTTATCAATAACTTTGGATTTACTCTCCTTTGTTCATTGTCCATACCCATAGATCACTAGTTAATGCAAAGAATTATATAGAATGAAACTAGTTGCTATTTGATGTGATTAGTGTACTGAGTAATAGGCTTCACTATCTCACCATGTCTGAATTTATATTGCAGTTTTTTTTTTCCTCCTAATTTTTGTGTGTTTAAATCATATTTTCTTATTATGTTTTTTTATGGCTTACTAATAAACGTAGAATTTATTTTACCCATTTATTGTTAAGATTGTTCTAAAGCATGACAATGAAATAAATATTTACATATTGGGTTTTTGTGTATATGATTAAGGCATAATGTTTTATGTTGATTTATTTTTGTCATGGGGTGATTATATCTAGTCATGCCATTTTTATTCTATTTGTTTGATTTAGTTATGTTCTTATCTTTTTTGTGTAGATAATTAGGTCAGTAAAAATTTATTTTGAATGATAGTTTTAAAAAAAAAACAAACTAATACATTTATTTTTTAAAGGAATTTTTTCAACAATGGAACATCGAAATATTTAGAAGACTGATGTTCTTAGATTCTTGAGGGTAAGGATTGGGAGGCCAAAGTTTGGTTTTTAACATATTACCTTAAGGAAATTGTGTATATTTATTAATTGTTGTTATCATATACTTTCTATTATAAATGGAATGTTTATTTTTTTCTTCTTCGTAAAACATCTCTTTTTAAAAATAAATATCTTTTTAAGTTTAAAGATTAAAAATTGAATTATTGGGATCCAATTTTTCAATTGGGAGGATTTAATAATATTTCTTTCCAAATAGGATGAAAAAACTTTTAATGAAAAATTCATTTGGTTTTGGTAATTTTTTTTTGTAAGGAAAGTTTTGTTTCTGTAAAAAAAAAAAAAAGGTATTAAAGCAATAAAAGAAAGGTTTATTTATAAAAGGTATATTAAAAAAAGATTTTGTTTAAAAAGCATGCACGACATTTTTAACAAATCTTTTTTTTTAATATAGGAATTAATATACAACAAATCTTTTTTTTCGGCACCCAATGTTGTATGGTCAGATGGTTGTCCCGTGAGATTAGTCGAGGTGCACGTAAGCTGGCCCTGACACTCATGGATATAAAAAAAAAAACATTTTTAACAAATCAAATTGTTTTCTTTAATATTTTTCTAAAAAAAATTCCATGGGAATTAGGGATTCTAGAGATTGATTCCTAATATTCTTTAGATATGAATATAATTTGGGAGGCCAAATTAAATTCAAATAATTAAATTTTCTTAATGGCTTTAGATCACTCAGGATCATTATTTGCCTCAAGAATAATGATCAATAAAGCATTAGACATTTAAAAATAAAAATAAAATTATTTTTCTTTAAAGGTTATTTTCTTGAAAATAATATAAAAATAAATAAATTATCATTCAAGGTGTCGTGGGGTGCTAATACTTCTCTATACACAAAGGACCCTGGACCTAAACCTTTTTGTGCATACCAACATATCCATGCATTCGGGTGACCAATCACACCCTATAAATAAAGACGGGTGACGACTCCATTTTTCTCTAATAGAAAAGAAAGTCGATCGCAAACCTCTTAGTGACAGTTTGGAAACTCTAATGGGGACTTCATCTTTTAAGCGGGTCAAATTTATTTATTTATTTATTTTTGTTATTTTCTATATGTGGCCTTATTTTATTTCTATTTTGACACACGTACACAAAACCTCCTACACGAGCTTTACTATTAAGTTTAAAATCCGGGATGAATAGTGGCGACCTTCGTGGAGTATAGGACTCCCATCTAGACACGTGAAACTTCTCACTCAAGTTGATCATAATCAGAATGCTGATAAAAGGTGCCTTTAAGTTTTCCTGGGTGAGGAAAGAATCGTGGACATCTTGGAGACCTTTCTCTTTTAATACCTTTATTCTTTAGCACAGAACATTCTTTATGTAATTATTTTGTGATTGCCTATATGTGATTATGGTTTTTATTTAGAAGTTTAATTTTTTTCTCTCTCGTATTTGTTTTTTTCCCCTCAAACTTTTATTTCCTTTTCTCCCCACACACATGATCATAATTTGTTTTGCAAAAATAAAATATTAAAAAAAAAACTTCAATTTTTATTATTTGAAATTTTGATTGCTTTCGGACAAATCTAGTACTCGGGTTGCTATGGAAGGAAAGTCAATAGTCATTATTGAGAGCTAGAAGCTTGTACGTCAATGGTTAGAGGAGATGCAAGCAAATTGTTGAAGCAGCCCATCAAACGATGTCTCAATTGAACTTCCAGCAACCAATGTTTTTAGTTCTCAAAATGTAAGCAAATTGAAAAGATTTTGGAGGGATTCACACTATTTTGGAGGGATTCACACTAGGGTAGAAGTTTGCATTTATAAAGAAGTACATAGGGGTATTAAAAAAAACCGACAACCCGAAAAACCCGACCAACCCAACCCACACCGTAAGGGTTGGGTTGGATTAGATAAATGTTCGATTTGGGTTGGGTTAAATTTTATGTGAACCGATCAGTCTAGTTCGGTTTGCGAGTTCAACAAAAAAAAAAAAAAATTGATTCGAACCGAAGTCATATATTTTAATATTATATATACTTGTATTTAAGTTCTAGGGTTTCCTTTCTCTTCTCCCGCACCTCCTCCATCTCCTTTTCAAGGTTTTCTCTCCATCTCACCTCTTTCATCTCCTATTTTATCACCTCATCCCTCAAACTTGATCTCATATCTCTAATCTATCATGATTTCGTCTCCAATTTCATCACTCTCATCTCTCACCTCTCTAATTGTTCGTCGCCACATGCCCCTATCGTCGTCGTCCATCGTCATAGGCTCCTATCGCTGTCGTTTGTCGCCTATTGCTGCCATCTCTATATCTGTTGTGAAGTATGAATGTTAAGTTGGATTTTTTTTAATGTGATTGGATTTCCTAATATTTCTTTCTGTTGGTTTGTTTGGATCTGGAACTTAAAACTGGGATGGTTTATTTGGATCTAGATCTTGAAACTATGACGATTTGTTTGGATCTAGAACTTGAAATTATGATGATTTCTTTGATATAAAACTTGAAATTATGATGATTTGTTTGGATATAGAACTTTAAATTGAGATGATTTGTTTGGATTTGGAACTTGAAACTAGGAGCAACCCGGTGACCCAACCCGAAAATTTTGGGCTGGATTGACCGTCATGTTCGATTCCACCGGTTCTTTGATCTAATCAACCCAAAAATTCGAGTTGGCCCAAATAACCTCCTAACCCGACCCGTGAACACTCCTACGGGCACATCGTCTTTTATATATTCAGGTTGATGTGGGTGCCTTCGCAATTGCACTCTACTTCTAGGATCCAGTTTATAAATGTTTCAAGTTCAACTCCCTCGACATGACTCCCACCATCGAAAAGTATCAAAAGTTGCTTCGAATAATTGTTATGTTCGAAACCAAGATGTATTTCTATGATAAAAGATTGACTGGTAAGAAGATGGCTCTAACAAAACTTGTTGGAAATTTAACTGTTAGTGAGATAGAACATTAAATCAAGAGTAAAGGCGGCAATGACGGAATATCGTTGGATTACCTCATAGGTCTCAACAATATAGGGGTCAAGAACTAAGCTTGGAGTTCTTTTCATTGTGCGGAACGTTCTGTATCCCAACTTTGAGGATACATAGACGTGAAAGTCGTCAGGTTGTTCCTCTTGATTCAACATGGCGTTATCGGGTTTTAGCTGTTCTCGTCGAAACCACACGTTCATTAGACTTCTGCAGAGTGCAATGGAAAGACAGGTTTATAGGTTGCACTCTTTTACTATATGAATGGTCGATGAATCATATGAAGTTCCCACTCAAATTTGGTCATCTACAAATAAAATTCTCCAATCCATGAAATGTTGCAAGAAATCCAATTACTGAATAGTTGAGTGCAAAATAACCTCACTGATAAAAAATATATAGGTATCTTTCTCGAAGGAGTCAAAAACTGAAGAAGTAATATAGAGAGCTCTATGCATGGATGCCCTTAAAGCCAATCGCTTACAAGTGTGAAAAACTTCATAATGTTCTATTATTGGGTACTTGGGGAAGTACCAGCTATACGCCTCTTTTAGTTCTACATCAAATGTTGATAGAAGAATTTGTTCCTGTAATACAT